ATTATGGGAAAATTCTACTGCCAGCCCTTCATCACCTTAAATGAATAGGGTGAATACATCTCATAGTACTGATTTACTGGTGGTCTCGAAACTCTACTTAAATACGACAATTATGTTCGGCCATTAAAATCTACTATGTTATTTATATTTCTATAAAGTATATTTCGAGGCTATCCATAAATCTCGAATAGGAGTTCTGATAGTCTTGAAGCCTATTTTTTGTAAATAGTGGGTTTGGATGATTTGTTATACAAACAAATTATGGTGGACAGGAACGTGAGTGTAGCTATTTTTCAGAGTTGGAAAAGATTTAATTCTTCTTTTAAGACTATATTAAATTAGTTATCTTTTCAAAACCAATCAAGAATTTTTTTTACTGTAGACTTAGGCAAACATCCCTAGTTGAGAATGTTTGTCATCATTATAAAAATGTTGCAGACGATGTAGATATCAAAAAGTTCAGGCAGTATGTACTTGTAGATACGAGGAGAAACTGGGCTTTGATTAATCTCTTGAGATAACATAGTTGGAGGGACGTGCATTTCGTGTGAAATTCGATCTCACCAAAAGAGTACGGATGAATGCTGTTGTACTCCAGCCGTTTGGCTTTATACGACGTTCAGGTGGACGCAGTTCACGGGACCTTTCTCATTTCGGGTGAAACCGGGATGAGCTTTCGTCCATCATTCGAAGGACATCATCAGAGCTGGGTCTCATTCCTGTAAAAGTATTACGTTAACACTAGGGCAAGAATGCTATCCGGCTCTATCTTACTACTTATATAGACTCAATTAAGCCAAAATAAAATTAAAAACCGAGATAGATAGATAGATAGATATAGAGTTGTTTGGTTAATTATCATTCATACTGGTCCTGCTACTCTTGCTCGAGTGTGTGCGTGTGTCAGTGACTATACGCAATACCGGTACTAAATCAGAGGTATCAAAAAATCTAATGTCAGGCTCTCAACATCAAAGCTTAATAGCCCAAGAGAAAGCCCTGACCGAGACCGTGTAAGTCCGAAAGCGAGTATGGTTGAGATAGTGAAATGTAAGCATGTAAGTCAAGTTACGAAGCAACTTGCCCTAACCTCTCAATCTAGGGGCATTAACATTTAACCGCCGAGGAAAAGAACGACTAAGGCTGCGTAATCTAGAAGGTCTGGTTTGCTCGATGAGCTTAATCTAACATGTCGGACGAGTTTGAGCGAAGTTAGAAGCATCACTGAGCAGACCAGTTGAGTCGTCTTCTTTGGGATGGCGACTAAACGCCCTCACTATCCTTCAATCTATCAATCAAGCATAAATAGGTTCTACTCAACTTTCTACCACCGTTCCTCACATTCAACGTCATCCACGTATCTAACCCACAATTTGGGGGTTAGTATTGCCTCTTGCAGAAAACGTTCATCCAGTCTTGCCTTTCCTTGGGCATTAAGCGTTAATGACCCTAGACTGAAAGGTTAGGACAAGTGGTTTCGTAACTTGACTTTCATGCTTACAAGCTCATAGTTAATTATCTCAATCATTCTTGCTTACGGACTTACGCGGTCTCGATCAGGGCTTTCTCTTGGGTCAGTGGTTTCTAAATTTTTTCAAGTCGCGGCGCCCTTTTTCAATTAAAATTTTTCCATTCCGCCCTACCCTAAGTATGACTATTTGTAAGTAAGAGATAAAAATAAATAAAACTCGTGTATCTTTACTATTTTTTTACTTTGTTTAGTAGTAATATAATATAATAATATTAATATAATAATAACACTATTTATTAATATTTAATAATTAATGTGATGGATGAGGCTGCAAATCACTGCACATTTTCTCAGATTGAAACTTTTTCAATATTTCGCGGTTTCCCGGGGCGCCGCGGCTCACAGTTTGGGACTCAATGTCTCAGGTCATTAGGCCTTGATGATCAGAGCCTGACATTAGCCTTTTTATAATCCTGATTTAGGAATGTTACTGCGTATAGACGCTAAGACACGCACACATTTGAGCAAAAGTGGCAGGACCAGTATGAAAGATAATTAGCCAAATCACTATAATCTATCTATATAGGTTTTTAATTTTCTTTTGCTTAATCGAGTCCATATAAGAGGCAAGATAGAGCCGGATAGTCTTCTTGCCCTAATCTTAACATGAAACTTTTACAAGAATGAGTTCCAGCTCTGATGATGTCCATTGTCTGATGGAAGAAAGCTCATCCCGTTTTCACCTGAAACGAAGGAGGATGTCCCGTCGCCTGCGTCAACCTGAACGTCGTATAAAAGCCAAACGGCTGCACTACAACGGGATGCATCCCTCCTCTTCTGGTGAGCTCGAGCTACGAATCTCTTCCTCATGCACTTTTATGCGAAATTAAAGTCACCTCAATAAACTATACACTTGCTTCATTATTTTCTGTTAAACAATAGATCTGTGTTTAATGTGATGCAGATTTCCACTCCTTCCATATGGCGACAGAGCTGATAAGCAAAGCTTCTCTGGATAATTTTAGGATAGCAAACACAAAGTTTTCTTCTGTAAGGCCTAACACGGCAGGTATTCCATTTCTAAGCAAGGATAATGCTAGGAAAGCAAGTAAAAAGTGTATGGAAGTTGTTTGACCTTGTTTTCGAAACTTGGTCTTATTAACAGGAAGACCTGGATGAACGCATCTTTCCCGGAGTCCTTAGTATGCTCTTTATGATCTCTACATTTGTTTATATAAATTCGAACTGTCGACTTGGTACATTCACAACTTTTAGTCGGCATCTTCAGTCAGCTTTGCCATTGTTAGCGCCACACTACAACTCGTCAACGGGACAAGTGAAGTCGCTCCTCTGACCAATTGTGCTATCTCTCCTGTCCAGGTGTATTCACCAATCCCATACCCTCGTAGCACCCATTCACTATTACAATTTCCCACTTGTTTATCCTCGCCGGTTCCCTCATCCCCCCCACCTGTCCTGGGAGGGTTGATCCAAGACTGACGTTGATTCCGCAATCTTCTTCCTCAAGGTCCAATCAGTCTCCTTCTTGTGGACCGGGTAAATCTTGTTGTCAAGGCCTCACTCCACGGAACACGTCTATGACCACACGCACCTTCTATTTGCCAACTATCGAGGGTTCTACTTTATTTGAATATGCTCACTGTAGACGTCTAGTCTTGGCTCCAGATTCTCCATTTCTATTCTCCTCGTGATGTATTTTGCTAAAATTAAAAATATTACCATGATCGGGTTGTCCACATTTTACTCATCTTCCCCGAATTCGCTTAGGCGGTATGCAAACTTTTCGCCAATCCTGTTTTCTCCAAGTCCCCTGCTCATTAGATATCTTTCGGTCATAATATTGCATTTTATTGTAGTTTTAACATATATGGCCTGCCGTTCTGTTAAGATAGTTTCCCGTCGGTGCAATATATCCCGATATTTCGGATCTTTCCATATCCATGTTTCTACAGAGTATTTGATATTCCTCTATTCGTTGGCCAATTTCTTCCCATTTCACCAGTATACTTCTGCGCATAATTGTCACGTTTGATCCGATAAACTTCCGAGCAATCCAGTTTTTCAAGCTTCTTCCGTTGCGTCGGCAGGCTAGTGAAAAGTGTTGTCCCTTCTTTCGTTATTACCTGAATACTCGATGGTTACAATTTTTGTTTAAGTTCAGAGGAAGAATGGCATATTCGATTGTAATCGTTCTCACGGTCCCTGATCTTATTTTTATAAAATCCTAGTTGAAACCTGTTCTTTATGATCTCTACATTTGTTTATATAAATTCTCTGGCGTGCAGCTTATGGAATCAAATCCAAGTCAG